TTCGAATCAGAAGCCATGAGATTCTAATGAGATGGGCCATGAGATGCCTAATAAATGTCCCAGTAACCACATTAATCACATTAATGGCATCATCCACTCAACAGAAAACAGGAACCTGGACTTCTAGAGCCTGCTACTACCAGGTGAAGAGACAAATGAAAAGGTGAAACCACATCGAACCACCTTGAATTCACTAATCAAATCCTTCTTTTGATACAAATAAGGGGAAATGAACTATTCTCACTGGCATCTGTAAGTTTTTATGCTTCACTCCAGGATAATACAGATCTGGTTTTCGAAGACTATTTCAATCTTCACTAGCAAACAAGTTGCTCAGTAAAGCAAGATGAAGGTTGTCTAGGACCACAGTACCCAGATAACCAGCAAGTGAGGAGAATTAATACACCCCACTGCTTCTTGAAAGCAGGTTCAACAAGAAGGACAGGGTTGACTGCATCAGGATCTCCCAAGGAGCCTGCTAAAAAGACAGATTCCAAGCTTCCAAATTCAGAGATTCTGATCCAGTAGATCTGCATCAGGGCCAAGTCAGGGAGCCAGTACATTGATTGAACAACTATGTTCTGTTAATAGGAAAAGGAAAATTAGCATCTACCTAGCTACTACTAAAGGAAATAGTCTTCCAAACAGCTGAAGAAAGGTAATAGACCTTTTCCTAGACCCAGTGTCAATAGAAACCTGAGTAGACTGAATTTTGTGAGTTGGATTATATCCCCCCAAAATGTATATGTTGAACTCCTAACCCCCAGTACCTCAGAATATGACCTTATTTGGAAATAAGTTCGTTGCAGATGTAATTAGTTGAGATCATACTAAATAGGGTGGTCCCTAATCCAGTATGACTAGTGTTCTTATAAAAAGGAAAAATGTGGACATAGACACAGGTATTAAGGGAAAACACCACGTAAACAGACACAAAGAGAAGGCTACCAGCTACAAGACAAGGAGAGAGCCTTGAAACTCAAGGGCTCAGCCTCAGAGCACTGACCAGCCTGCTGAGACCTGGATCTCAGACTTCTAGCCTCCAGAACTGTGAGACAATATATTTCTGTTGTTTAAGCTACTTGGGTTATGGCAACCCTAGCAAACTAATACACTGAACATCACAGAGAAATAAGCCACCTACCCAGAGGATCTCAATACTGAGACAAAAACGCTGAATTTCTTGAAGTTTCTCTGCTGGAAACCCATATATTGCTAAGGCAATATATGGGGTTCCAGTTACAAAATCCGTAGTGAAGCGCACTAGGTTTGCCACTAGCTTTGTAGTACTTATACAATAAACCACCCAGCAAACTCTTTTCTACAAAAAGAGCTGCTGACCCAGAACACCAGCTGGGATGAGCTTGGAAATCTACAACCCCCACTTAAAACACTATTATTACTTAGCCACTTACGAACTGTCACCTCTTTCATATCGGCTAAAGTTATCACAACCTCCCAACTTTATATTGTACCTAGTCCAAATTGGTTTTTTTTTAAAGCCCCCCAAAACAAAAACAAAACACTTTTCTGGTATAAGTGCCAGCTTGTTTTCCACCACTAACCTCTTAAATCATTTAAATCCTAATTCATTTCTAAGCTAGGTGAATAGTCTAGGCTCATTAGTCTATTCTCGCTTACTAGTTAATTACTTTTATCTTTCCAAATTGATTTTAAAGGAGAACGAAAGGTATCAAATAGCCTGAGAGGTGGAGAACCAACCCCATTAAAATAGAAAATTCTGGATAGTAAAGACACACAATTCCTCTGATTAAAATTGCATTACCCAGTCTGAACACGGAAAGCAGTTTAGACTTTTCCCTGGCACACCCTATAATGAGATTTGCCTTATGTCATGAAAATCAACCCTTCTATGCCTAATGCAGCATTTTGTTTTGCTGACTCACCACCAAAACCAGGTTGGCACTTGAGACAAATCTGCAGTGTCCTGGAACAAAAGTTTTTCAATGCTTTTGGAGGGCACACCGCTTGTGACTGTGCCTGGGACAGAAAAGACTGCACCCACTGTTAAGCAGGAACATGACCCTTTCTAGGAGAGATAATGTGCCATTTCCTGGGAAAGTCAAACTTCTCTGTAATCCATAGTTCCCATCACAGAGTTCAAATCCCAGCCGTGTTCCAGGATAGATATGCAGAACTGCAGAAGATATGGAAATACATCTTGATTGAAAGCACACATAGAATTACTCTTTGCATCACAAGGAGGCCCAGAGAAATACAGCTGAATCTAACTACTCGGTTGGTATAAATGAATAGTTCTTCACTATATGCTCCCTTAATGATTCAGGTGAAAGGGCCTGGCTTATAAACCTAAGGAGAGTTCCCACGGCAGTCATAGACAT